CCGGCCCGCTCCCCGGCTCCCCCTCCGCTTCCTTTCCGCCTCCCCATCCCCTCCGTAGCGACCTCGGCAACACCCGCTCCCGGCCGGGACGGGGGGGAGAGAGAGCGGGGCGGCCGCTTTCTTGGCAGAAGTTGTGCTTTTGTGAAGTTCTCCGCCGAGCGCCGACAGGGCCACTGCCCTGGGAGAGCAGGTCCCCCGGCAGAGAAAGCTTGCAGCCGTTTTCTTTCCCCGGCGGTCGGAGGGGAAGCGAGGGCCGTAAACAAATTGCCACCTTAACCCTGTCGCGCAGGTCGCGCCGCTGCCCGCGGAGCGGCGGCGGCGGTAATTGTTGGCGGGGAAGGGCTGGAGGTACCGGAGCGCCCCGCACGCCCGGCCCGGGCGGGGCGGAGGGACGGCCCCGGCCGCCAATCTCCGCCGGCCAAAAAATGTTTAAAGTAAACAGCCTGGGAAAGCTGCCTTGCTGCAGGGATGGTTTCACTTCAGGGAGCGGATTTCTAGGCTTTGTAAGAAGGGGGAAAGGAGGAGGAGGGAAAAAAAAAAAATCCATGTGGCTGCCCTCTTCCGTTCACAAATATTGTCGTAACTTACAGATGGCTGCTCTACTTCCTAATTCAGATCACACAGCGTCTCCAAACTCTATGGAAATGAATTACTTCTGATCTTACAGCGCTGCTCACCACGTGGGTCCTGCCTCAGCACCAAACCCCTGCTAGGAGCTGGGAATGGGGGAAACGGCAGCAAACTGCTAGCGGCGAGCTTTTCCGTCACCACCACTCCCCCCCCCCCCCAAGCCCCTCAGAGGTCTCAGGAGAACAGGAAAAGGGACTTTTTTTCTGTTCTCGTGGCTGTTGAGGTTCACCGGGAGCGGTCACTCGCGCCCTGGAGCCGCGGGTCTTGCCAGCGCGAACGCTTTGCAGCCTGAGCTGCCGGCGTGGTGGGCAGCGTAGGCGAGGGCGCAGGGGTCTGATGCGGTGGCGTCACCCCCGGCCTGCGCGTTGGTCCGGGGCGAGGATGGCTACCAGCAGGTACGCCGTGGCCTGTGCGAGCGCCCGAGGGTGGCTGCTGGGCGAGGGCCCTGCTGCGAGGGCGCCCGCCTGAGCTGCGCTCTCCCGGGGACGCCGCGTGGGAATGCGCCCCCAGGAGCTCGAGCTGTCGTGCTCCGGGGGGGCGGGGGGGGGGGCTCTGGCCGGCGGCCCCGGGGTGCGGAGGCGCGGGTCTGGCGGCCTGCCGCAGCCCCTCAACTGCTGACCTCTTCTTGCCTTGCAGGGGAAGGCGACGGGACGGAAAGCGCCGCTGTGGCTGCGAGCAAAGTTTCAGAGACTGTTGTTTAAACTGGGCTGTTACATTCAGAAAAACTGCGGGAAGTTTTTGGTTGTCGGCCTCCTCATATTCGGGGCTTTCGCTGTAGGATTAAGGGCAGCTAATCTCGAAACCAACGTAGAGGAGCTGTGGGTGGAAGGTAAGTCCGGCGTCCCCCCTCCTGCTGCTGCCGCCCCCGCCGCCTGACCGGCCGGGTGAAAGCGGCGGCTGGAGTGCGTGCGTGCGTCTGTACGGCCGTGCGGCGGGCCGCTCCGCATGCCGGGGAGGGAGCGGGAGAGGGAGAGGGAGGGCCTGCCGCCGCCGGCGGGGGACGGGCTGCCGGCGGGG